GGACCAACAGAAATGCTTAAAACTGTTTGGAATAAAATCGCTTTACATGAATCTACATTGAAAGTAAAGAATGTTTTGCCCTCTACTGTAAACTTAGTATTTTTAAAATACATGTTTTTCTTTGGACAGAAATGACATAACACTCATTATATTATATATGTATATTATATGTCTATCTACTCAGACCTAAGATTATGTAGACAGACATATGTGCGTTATGTACAGATATTCACACATTTCTTTAGCTCCCTTTTTACATTGGCTCTTTATTACTCTTAATTATATTGACTGTATTCTTTTATTTGTCCCTTAGTTAAATACTTATTAACGGTCTTTGTGCTTGTCTGGTCTGTTCAGTATGTTACATGTCACACATCTGAGCACCAACCAAGACAAATTCCTTTCCAAATTCGCTTGTATATTATTAGTTTTTGACATAATTTGAAAAAACCTACTGTCCTTTATATTGTGCGTAAATTTTAAGATGGATGGACCAAAAGAAATGGCCCAAAATTATTTGAAACAATGTCTGGTCCCATTGACTTACATTAAAAGTAAAGCATGTTTTTTGCTTCTCCTGTAAAGTTACCATTTTGGAGATTTTGTTCCGACAGCAGTGATATGTAACATACTTGGCAAAATAAAGTGATTCTGATTCTGATTACACTTAATTATAGGCTATATAAACAGAACATCACCAACTAATTAACTACACATACAAACTTTAATCACCAGTAAGAATGATTACAATTGATTTTCCATCTGGCAAGAAACGCTGGGGAGCATGCACAAGAAGCAAACAAACACTGAAAGAGAGAGGAGCCAAGTATGATCAGAAGAAGGACGCCAATGCTCTAATTTGGCAATATTTTAGCTTCCAACAAAATGGATGTGGAGAACCACTGGATGTTAACAATGTAACATGGAGTCTGTGCAGAATATAGCTACTATTATATATTATATATTAGATATTAGATGCTAGCTCAGTTGGTAATTATATGGTAATTCTGTTACTATCAGGGAAATTGCAAGGTATACAGGAAGGCTCTATGGATCACAATGATATTGTTTATCTCAATAATTCTGCAGACGATAATTGTCTAAATTCACATTATTTTATGATACAAATTCACATTACTTTATGATACATGCAGTTGCTCAGTGTTTTAGAAGCTCTGACGACATCTATGATATACTAAGAAAAGCTAATTCTGCCATACTTTATTCACAATAACGATAGCACTGTGGCTCTGTGAATCACAATGATATTGTTTATCTCAATAATTCTGCAGACAATAATTGTCTAAATTATCGAAGTTTACTTGATAATGTGCAGTTTGTACAGTTACAATGCATGGACTGTGGTTTGCATGCTCTCTGTAGTTGGTCTATTTTATGATACATGCAGTTGCTCAGTGTTTTAGATTCTGCCATACTTTATTCATAGTAACGAGAGCACATCCTCATACTACCCAGGCCTGGCATGTAATGTTTAAACAACCTTAACAAACAACGCTTGACTCCTCTTGGATTCGAGCCTGGACCACTTACCAAGCTAATGGGTAACTTGTTCGCCATTTGATGTCAACTGAGAGCACAAAACATGGCCTCATGACTTTCATTGAATTACAAAGCTCTAGTGTCTGAGCTTTAATATGGTTATTCAGAATTCAGAACTGAATGTGATTCTCTGTCTGAATGCACTCTGCTCAGTGTGTGTTAAAGAGTCACTGACAATATCTTTCTTTCATTTCTCAAAAGAGAGCTCAACGGTGTGGATAAAATATCACACTGTTATTGCACTGCTACATATTGTGAATGCACAAGGACCTGCTGTATGATAGAGCACAGCAGTGATCACTTGTGACAGGGGGATGCACAAAGGTGCATTTCTTAAACCCCCTATATGTATTTCGGAAAATTCTTATTGTTTTTCTATGCTATCCAGATGGAAGTGATTTTAGGTCACTGAAAATGGAGCTTCCAGAGTGGAGATTTTTCAGAACGTGTTTGAGTAGACAGGTAACATGAAGCAATGGTCATCAACCCTGGTCCTGGAGATCTACTTTCATGTTGAAACTAGCTCTAACTACAATTTGTCAATCTGCTAATTAACTTCTTCAGAAGTTCTTGATTGGCTGGATCAGATGCAACAGAGCTGGGCAAGGGAGGGACAGAATGTTAGTTGCAGGTTACTCTGCAGGAAAGTAGATCTCCTGTGAGAGGGTTAGTGTCTACTGGTCTACACTTAACTTAAATATGGGAATTTTCTGCAAATTTAAGTGAAAATTTCCAGTCAACATGCTATAAAAAATGAAACATTCATTATATAATGGCCCATAACTTTTGCACATGCCATGTTATATTTTTCCCCCAATATCTTTAATTCAGCAAATATAGTAATATATAGTCTGTATATTCTGGCTCAGTGTTCAAGCTTAGAGTCAGAAAAAGTAGATTATTTTTTGGCCAAAAAACAGGCCTAGACCTTAATTTACATAGAATTATGGCAATAGAAATCACAGTCACGATATTGGTCCGCACAATCACAATCAGATGTTTTCCTCAAATCATTCAGCTGTAAAACACTGTGGGTCTCTCACGGTAAATCTCTTCACATTGCTCTGAATATTAACAGCTAGTGTAACAAAGCCCACAAAGACTGCAGCTAGACTCTGACTGTACACCACAATCACACCATTACCACTTGACTGTCAAAAACTGAGTATATCATAACATCATCACTGTAAAGTCCATTAAGCTGCTACATTAAGTGCAAATATAGCATTTAGTAATTTGGAAAGTACTACTGGGCAATTCTTGTACTCATTACAGACCAAAAGCATAATTACACATACAGACAGACCAGACACACACACACACACACAGACACAGACACACACACACACACACACACAGACCACAGACACACACACACACAGACGCACAGACACAGACACACACACACACAGACGCACAGACACACACACACACACACACACACACACAGACACACACACACAGACACACACACACAGACACACACACACAGACACAGACACACAGACACACACACACACAGACACAGACACACACACAGACACACACACAGACACACAGGCACACACTATCTATCCCTACACCTGTGGTCTTTCCAGTAAGTTGAGGAAATACAGATTATAAAGAGAAGCTGATCTAGGATCATGGCTGTCCGGAAGTGTGACAACAGACAACAGGCTAAAACGAGCTCGTTTTTCCGGCCACAAAACCCACAGCCATCTGAGAACGACAGCTGCCTTGTTCCTTTGCCCATTTAAATGTGACCACTGTTCCATCTCAGTGATGGTCAAACCCTGCATCTGACAGGCTTATGCTGGACTAGAAGGCCATTTTTTCATCTGTTCATGATTAGCATAAGAGTGGATAAACAAATTAAACAAACAGTGGATTATGACTGTGACTATAAGCCACCGTCTGGTTGGTAAAAAATTAATAACCAGATTCTCGAACATGGATTAAGCCTAGTTTTGAACTAAACTGTAACACAAACGGAGATTCATAACTGAAAATCCTTTTTAGCCTCCACTAAAGCCCCTTTCACACTCGAAACCCGGGACATAACCAGGATACTTCTACTGGTAACTTTTGGGCTTTGCTTTATTCACACATGCAGGGGTAAAACAGTATTTTATTGGGATGCAAGCGTTCATACACACTATGAAAATCCCAGTTAACAGGAAGTGATGTTCTCAGCATGAATAGCTACCAGCTTCAATTGTGAATCATGTACATGTAATTCATTCCTGCGACTTTTCTCTCTCGTAAAAAAACTGAAAACTTGACCGTAAGTACTCGATCGTTCTGCTTTGCTGGCCATGCTGATACTGTGCCACTTCTGTAGACTTTTGCAGATTCTCTCTAGAACCAAATACAAACATGTTTTCACACACACAACAAAAAAATCTACTGTTGAACTAAACTGCCATTTTGCTGATTGTAATCTAAACATCGCTGTATTTCCCGGTAATGTGTCGGCATCCGTTTACACACAAGTAATTTATGGTATTTTTCCGTGTACTGTGTACTAGCTGTGCAACTAAATTGCTGTGTCAACTTACTGGGATTTTGACTCTGGTTTGCGTTCACATTTAGCCCATTCCTGTTTAATTACTATTAAGTTCCAAGGTAAAGTGCATGTGTGAAAGGGACTACATTTCATCTGGGTGCAGGAAATCAGCTGTAAAGCTAAGTTGAAAGTACATTTATCTCACAGGGTGTACAACAGGGGTATCAAAGCTGGAGCCCAGCACAGTTTGACTGACCTGACAAACACTAAGCTCTGCTGGACACTGGCCATCGACAACTGGAACTGAATACCTCTGATGTACAGCAGAAAACGTAAATATCCATTGTGAAATCTGATATATCTGAGGTTTCATTTGTGCCTGTACACAGTTTGCAGATGGCTGTTGGGTCTTTGCTGTGGCAGTCGACTCACTGACATCACTAATGTCATAAGTCCTTATAGAAGTCTGTCCACTTGGCAGCTATTTTTGCAATGCCTCTGGATAATTATTTCCAGTCTCTTATGACCAGGAGAAACAGATAGCCAGGCTAATGTTTCAAAAATAATTTTGTAAACACTCGCAAAATCTGACATAAACACATAAATAACATATGGTGTGTGGCTTAAATAAAAAACAAAAATCGTGTTTTTAAGGTTGTTTGGGCTACCACCCATGTGCATATCGCCACAACAAGGACGACTGGCACTTTTTATTGAAGGTCAGCATTGTCAGTATCAGTGAAGTGGCTGATAAGTAAAGGAAGGGTGTCAGATGTGGTACAGCCCATCAATATAGGGAATCACAGGCCTGAATAACAGAAGGCTACACCTCCACCGACCTTGAAGCTGAAAAGTTAAACATACTATTCCAAACAATTAAATATTTAATGCCCCTCACTGCTAAACATCCCTTATCACACGACGGGTGACTCACCAGTGTGACGATGGCACACTCAGCCGTCAGCTGAGCGGCGCTGAAGAGAGTGCGGACAAACCGGTAGATCTGCTTCTGTTCTGGATCGTGTTTATCGTAATCCGCCGGCACCTCTGATTTCTGCAGAGAGACAAAGAATTCTGTACAAGGACTGTGCAATATGGACAGAATAGCATATTGTGATGCAAAGGACTGTCAAACAATTGAAATAATGAACTGTGATAAATCAGTATTACTTTGCATTTAACTGTGATTAATCATTAGTCTTCTTGTCTTATTTGCTTTAATTGGACACTAAAGAAAGATTTTTCCTTTTTAAAAAATCAAATCAGAATGTATTCATTACTTTCAATAGCTCAATAACATTTTCATCATGTGACTGAAGGGTTTCCATGAACATGAAAAAAGTCTTGTGAACAGAGTTCCCACTTCTCAATACCGCAGATGTTAGCTAGATGTTCCGACTCCTCTGTGATGGTAGTCTCTCGCTCTGGTACCGCTACATCTTGTTTGGAGGGGAAATGGGGTTTTCCACTTTTGCTGTTGTTTTTGTCAGTTGGTCGACTGTTGATTTATCCACAGTTCTCCCTCGAGCACCATCCAGCGTAATCTGTCAAAGGCGTCCTTCAATGCTAATGTTACTGATATTACTGATACGGCTGCATCAGTGCCTTGTTTTGCAGTGATGAACAAATTCACCATTGCAGTAGTCAGAAATAACTTTGGTTCGAAGGACCCAGCAATAGAATTCACCTTATAAAAGCTGTACAGAGCAGCAGAGTCAGGTTACTGCACGTGGGCAGCTGGGCTTTAGTCTACTCTTCATCTGGGTGCAGGAAATCAGCTGAACTGAGTTCATTAACTGAAAAGCTGTGTTTGGAGAGATTACAGAGTTTCTGTGAGGCTGAAGTTGGCCTCTAATCCAAATCTGCCAATGGTGAATCTGAATGAGAAGCTGGAGAATACGAAGCTACCTTCAGCTTCATGGAAATACGGATGGGTTGAAGGGTCAAAACACAAAAACACTGACGGCATTAAAGAAAAATGAGTTGCAATAGTAACTTATCACTGTGCTAACTTTGACTATTTCACTAATTTCTACAGACTGAGACTGCTGATGATTAATGTTAATGTTTAGCATTTGTTGGATCATTTAAATGCCTTAATTGATTTAAATACTCAAAGGGCATCTGTGATTGATGAGGACGCTCACAGCACACAAGAAAACACAATAGTGTGCGCAACCTGATTGTGTATGTGTGATCCCTTCCTAATCCTAAATAATCAGTGGACAACTTACTGACAGAGGATGAAGCTTTTCGTCAAAAATGTCCAGCAGCGTTCGTCCATCCACATCTCTGAAACAGCAAATGATGATAGAAATGCTAGTTTTTTCTGTGTACATTACACACGCAATAAACACCTGAGACATACTCTGGCAAAAAAAATTGAAAAAGAAATGGTCATTTCCAATCGCAGTGAAAAGATTTCTTTAGAAAACTGTGCCACTGAGAAGTTTCTCAGTAAAAACGCATGCATCAGTCTGTAGGAGGTGATTCAACTACACTGATTTTGAAGGCCAACACTCCAGACAGCTAACATAATAAGCATGACTAACCACAGAAAGTGTTGAGATGTTATGAACCAGGGTTATTATAGTTTTTACATTTTTATTTGGGTTTTATTTTTAAGAGTGCACTCAAAGTCTCTTTTTTTTTAAGAGAAGAACATAGTTTTAATTTTAATATTTAATTTAATTCCAAACTGGAATCATTTATTTCTCTGCTTCTTTCTTTTGCAATGCTAAATCAGAACAACAGTAGACTATGCTCAGCTAGGCTGCAATATTTAATCACAGGTATCACCATCTCCTGCATATTTAAGATCTGACACAGAAGGAACCCACTTTTAGACTATCCATCAAGCACTGGAGACACAAAAACTCTGTTTTTCTCCAAAACGCTGTTTATTCTTACTGCATTCTGCAGTGGATAATAAAGGTTTGATTTAGTGAAGTTAGTTAAGCAGCTGTTTTTATTTTTGTTACAGTTAATGGATGCATTTTTTACTGATGGCTTTCATCGCAGTAATAGTTTTTGTTAACTATTACTGATAACCTTGACATGGACATATACATGGGCCCAAGCTAGCAGGAACAGAACTGAGTCATGGTGAAATTTGCGATTTCATGATTCATGGAATCATTTCCTAATAAATCCTAAGTGAAACCTTAAGAACAGAGTTTAACACAGCTGTGTTCAGTATCTTATGCAGTACTATTATAAAGAAATACCAGAAAGGGTCTCCAGATGCCCAATAAATAACACACACACCCCTCTGATCAAGGGGACGATCACCCGCTGTGTCCAGAGCCTATGAGCTGCAGGCCTAAAGAGTGTGGCATTTAGGGTTCTAGATCCAGGGCTATTTGAAGGACCAAAGCCAGGCTTTGATGTCTGACCCACAGCTACTGAGAGCCACTGCCCTTACGCATGAGCTGATTCAACAGAACAGGACAAAGTGCTGGCTCTGCCATTCATGCTGCCCGTAATGCAGTGGTGAAGAACTATAATGTGCTGCCTGCTGTTTATAAGTGACTGGCTTACATTAAAGTCATGTTAGAAGAGACATGAAGCCATACCTGTTCTTTATGTGGTAGTAGATTGCAAGCGCAACACTGTGAAAAAGAAATAAGACGAAAGACAAAGCTTTAATGCGACATTACTTACAGCACAAAAAGACAGAGTTTTTCGTTTATATTAAGATGAACGTAAACATGAACAATCCACTGTGGGTGAAGGGTCTATATTAAAAGTGGAATTCTCCCTTATATGTATATGTGTGTGTGTGTGTGTGTGTGTGTGTGTGTGTGTGTGTTTGCACTGACAGTGACTGGACGGTATAAAATGCCTATACTAAAACACGTATACATCATTGGTTCCTATCACCACCAGTGCAAAGAAATCAGAGTCAGTGAGTTTCTATAAAACTACTATCAAACTACTCTGCCTGACTTTGTTTACAATGACTGAACTCTAGGAATTTTGGAAAATAGGCAGATTTTTAAGGTGGTTACCATTTAATGGTGTATTTGAGGTTGGGCTGGCTGACTGTACTATCATCCAGGAAGATGGTCGAGCAGGAGCTGTACTTGCGTCTCATTGGACCAGACGGGTGTTGCTGAAACACAAACACACATGCGCACGACAACTCCTGTTATTCTCAAGCCTTGAACACATGAGCACTCACAACCTGAACAGCACTGCTGGAAGTGGGAGACAGAAAGCCTGCGTTGGTTTGTGTTTACTCTGCACAGAGAGACGGAGACAGAGCAGTGGCCACAGCACACCATCAGTGACCACAGAGGTCAGCACAGAGTCAGGAGCTCAGTCATATAGCATTGAGTCACATACAGAACAGAGAGAGAGAGAGAGAGAGAGAGAGAGAGAGAGAGAGAGAGAGAAGAGGGAGAGAGAGAGAAAGAGGGAGAGAGAGAGAGAGAGAGAGAGAGAGAGAGAGAGAGAGAGAGAGAGGAGAAGAGGAGGGGAGAGAGAGAGAAGGAGGAGATGAAGAGAAAAGAGAGGGAGGGAGAGAGAGAGAGAGAGAGAGTCTGAAGAGCTTTATGATCTCTGCGATGCTGCTGAGTCCAATTCATTTATTCCTGGGCCCAAGCAAAACATTTTTAATGGGCTAAAAATTCCAAAAAACAATTATGTCAACAAATAAAACTTCATATTTTGGATTTTAATTTCATACCACAGTAGTTTTAGTTAAACAGGGCTTTAGTAACTGATTTGATTGCCGCTCCTCTGGCCCCTTTCCTAAACTCAGATAAACAGCAGAAATATTCCTAAATAAAGTAAACATTGCACTACTGGGGTTGGAACTCCCCAGAATTCATTGTGGTTTTTGCTTCTGCTAGGTATCTCTTATTTTTTATTAGTTCTATTCATTTAATTTTTGTGTTATAACATGTTATTCTTATAGCAAAGCTTACTTTTAATTATATTTTACGTTTTTGTTTTTCTCACCATGCCAGTTCAGCCTGTATTTTTGTGATATATTGAGTCACACTGAGTTACTTAGTCGCTCGAGCATCTGAGATTGTAATTTATAAGACTGACATTTTTGGTGATGTTTCCATTGATACAATATCTATATACAGTATTGTACGAAGGTCTTACGTAGACATGAAAATTGTTTAAAAACGTTTATCTTGGCAGTGAGTGCGTTTTAGCCAATAAAACACTACACTGTAAAAAACGGCTGCTCACATCAACATAAAAAAAAAAAAAATACTTCATGTGGTAACAAGTAAATTAACTACTTTTATTCAACCTAAAGAAATACTGTCAATGAATGATTCTTTCAATCAATGTAATTTTTTGAGCTGAATAAAACTATTTCAATTGCTTGTTACCACATGAAGTCATTTTTTTAGGTTGATCTGAGGAGTCTACAGTGTATATAAAATTAGAAAGATTTCAAACAAACATAATTACAGTAAAACTTACCAATAATGATTTGTTTTGAGTAGTTATTAATATCTTGGTTCACTGTGGAAATGGTTAAGCTAACACACACATAAAATCACAATGTGTTGCCTATTTGTTTATGTCTAAGTTTAGGGTTTCTTTTATCAAATCAACCTTTACTCTCCAGATTAACAGCTTTACATATCATTTACATAAACACCAGATATATAGGCCGGGTCTTATTTACACACAACATATTGCAAAATATTACATTTTTATTATCTTACATGCAGCCTCACAATTCATATGCCAAAAAACAAACAAAAAATATGTGTGTGTACATCACATATATATATATATATATACACACACGCACTTTTAAAAATAAAGATTAAAACCCCAATAGAATTCTACTAAACATCATACGGTAAACAGAAGTAGCATGACATATAACACATTGCATACATATGAAAAATCAAATACAGTCACAGAAAAAGCTTAAATTCAAAGATAACAATAATCAGTAATATCTGTAATATCTGTTAGTGAACTGTACTCAAAGCCCCAGGCATCATGCATGTTGTCTAAGGCATGCTCTAAATCTCCAGACAGGCACAGGAAACGATAGTTAATTCACACTAACAGTAAAAAATGCATTTTATTTAAAATGTGTTTAATGTAGTAGGTGGTACTTACATGGTTGACATACAGACTTTTCCGCTTTTCCCGAACTGAAAAGAAAAATCCTGCGTCAGTAACAAACATCACAGCAAAAATCAAGCCATGTAATTAACTGGGTAAATGAGAGCCGAATGTGCCAGAACAGAAAAGTGCAGTTACATTACAGAGGAGCTGAACAGAAGCTTCATTTGGCCTCAGCTCAGAAAAGTAACACTTCCAATAAACCACACAGACACTCATTTACAACAGAGCTTCTATACAGGCAAACCGTAAGCATAGACAGACAGGCATAGACGGATATTTGATGGAAAAATATGACATGATTTAGCTATTTGAATCTGAAATGACTAGAAGCAGCATCGCTAGCTGAAAGCTACTGTACAGAGATCAGAATCAGATCAGAACTGTTAGTTAGGCTGTGTTTGCTCAGATTTCAGTCGTATGAACTGCTGCGCTTGCAAAGTCTCACTGAGCTGAACTGCTTAATAAATCCCCTCCATTTGTTTGCCACTGTAGGCTTTTGGAAATTCATTCAGACACTGATATTTTATTCATGTGGGTTTAGTCTTTTGTGTACAGAAATCTCTGAGGCTTTTTATTCAAACATAAACCCCATTAGCATCGAGAATACGGGGCAGATATCAATCTGATACTGTTAAAACCATGAGAGGAGTGAAGCGTAATTTTTCATTCATAACTAGATGCGAGCGTCAGTGTTGTTACGTTCTGGAGGCTGGAGGCTGCTGCCTCGGCTTAAAGTCTCTGGCACAGCACTTAGGCATTATGCTGATGAGGGTAGAGGAGAAAATGAAAAGGCAGGATTTCTGACAAGGCTGGCAAGTGTTGGAGAGTGTATGCATGTTTGTTTTTGTATATTTTTAGGACAGACATAATGTCCAACAAACCAAACTGGTCCAGAATTTGTAAAAAGCTTTTTTCATGTTTTATTTTTTTAAACTGAATAGGCAAAACCAGTTCTTTTTGGTCACTGAGGTTAAGCTTCTAGAAATACACACACACACACTCACATACACAGTACTGTGCAAAACTCAAGAGACCACCATTCATTAATTACATGTCCAGTCAAAATGGACATAAAGTACAAGTTATTCATTTACAGGTGATATTTCTGATATTACATATGAGATAATCCATTTGCATAAGGAGAAAATAAGTGAAAAAATGTTTTAAAACTGGAGTTCAAAAAATTATTAAACGATACAGAGCAAATGGGATTCCGAACAATCGTGCAAGACCCGGCAGACCACCAAAACTGTCCCCATCAGATAAACAGCACTTAAATCTTTCATCTTTGAGAGAGAGGAGAAAATCAAACTCCGCTCTCACTTCAGATCTGAAAGATGCACAGGTGTTTCTGTCCAAGGTTTTATGAACTGATGAGTCTGAATTTGGTATTGAGATTGTGAGAAGCAGAAAATACAGCTAACATATGTTCACGCTGGTAGGCGACAATGCGACAGGGGTCCAGTCATTTCCTATAGGAGCTGGCGATTTGTAGCTGCGATTTAACGGCAAGCGGTGAGTGACATGGCGACAGAGTGACAAGCAACGAGTCGAGCTGAAATTTTCCCAACTTTGTGCAAATTAACAATGATCCATTGAAGCAACAATCTAACTGATTGGCTCCCACAAAGTCCTTGGACCAATCTGAGGTCCCCGGCCTCTGCTCTCTGAGCTTTTTGTTTTTGTAAAGACAAACATTTAAATTTGTAACAAAGGTTCTTTTTTTATTTTTTCCAAGTTTCTCCCCAATTTAGAAGTATTCAATTCCACCTACTAGTTAGGACTCCCCCAATCACACGATACCACCAGCACTAGGAGGGTGAACACTAAACGAACACTAAAGCAACATCATTGGGCAGCTGACGTCTGCAACAGACGTAAGAGACATGTGCGCTGACTGGCATCGTGATGGGTAAGGGGGGAGAGAGGAGGACTCCCGGCCATGGATGGCTGTAGCATCACTGGGGATCAAACTCACAATCTCCTGATGACAGTGCCAGCGCTTGGGACTTGGGAGCATAATGACGTGGGCGGATATTTTAAACAAGACGTTTACATTTTCTTGTCAAAAGAAAGACGTCACACGTCCACATACGACAACAACAGCAGCCTCGAACCTCCCACAAGAGACACAATTCAGATGACAACAGTGACGTAAGTCACCTTCTCATGTGAATATACGGTATTACTGAACTTCGGAGTTGTGGACAAAAATCTCTGCAGAGTTCCTTGAAAAACTGAAACAGAGTAGAAACAGTAATAGAGGCAAAAGACAGACACACTAATACTGGAAAGAAATTATATTGTATTTAGTTGTTAAGACTTCTGTGCAAATTTCTCTTAAATACATGTTTCTGTTTTTTTGCTGACACTGAAAGTATTGAATAACAAATGAATCACTAATTGCCATTTTGAGTTAAATAAAAGAAAGGGTCTCCACAGAACTGCAGGTACTTATATATTACATATATAAGTCGGCAACAATGTTCTCTGAGGTTAAATAAAGGTTGATGATTGATTGATTGATGTAATATTTATGGGACCTTATTATTAGAAATCGGTAATACATATGGGACAAATTTATATACACAGGTACTTACACGTTTATACATTGCATAGGGGACACATTATTATATCTAGGTATTTGCATATCGTCGCTGTCCAAAGAAAAACATGCATCTCTATTTTTTGGCAATTTTTATTTTTCTACATCATTTGAACACAGCAGCTCTCCTTTACATTGTATAAAAATTTCATAATGAATGGACCCATAGAAATGCTCCAAAAACACTTGGAATAAAACCTTTTTACATTAACTTCCACTTAAAGTAAAGAGGTTTTTGCCCTCTCCTGTAAAGTTACCATTTTAGAGATGCTTTTCTTTGGACAGCGATGATGTATATACGACATATGGGACATATTATTCATAACTGTCAGGAACAGACACGCCCAAAATAACACTACTGTTTCAATTCACAACCACTCTGCTTCTCAGCTTAAACAAACCAATCTGACTGGGCACAAATAACATTTATAGCAGCATGCATGAGCTATTTCTGCCTCCAGCTGGGGCTACTGATTTAAGCCAGTATGAGTGACACAGCCGCAGCACACACACACATACGAGACACGCTCTTATGTCAACATACATAACTCCTCAGCACATCACCTGTAATTACATAAAAATAACCTATTTAGTGTCACAACTCTATAAATATACCTCTACGTCTTATATGTTGATAATTACGCTGATTGGAACATCATTGAAAAGTGTTACTGTAAATAAATAATGCAGTGCTGATACAAGATTCATGACTGATGACATAAGATTGCTTGAAAGAAAACGTTTTCTGGACATCTTTGCTAATGCAAAGCGCAGCTATGTCTGCTACACACAGGCCCAAACACACACTACGAGGCTCCTCGACAGACTCAGCATGAACATACCTTTCTTGTTGGGAGGAGCAACTGAAAGGCAAGAAATGAAGTGGATTCTTAACTGAACAATTTCTAAATTGCCAGTAATGTTCACATATAAACAGTCATTCTATGACATTGTCTACTGCGACTTTCATACTGTCTATGTTAGCTAAACGTTAGCTATGTTAAAGTATTCCTAGTTTTCCATTTTCTAAGGCTACCATTAGGGCTGCACAATATGGACCAAATTCCATCCTGCAATTATATTTTAATTCTGATAAAGCATTAGTGAATTCCAGGTGTGGCTAAAGTTGGCATGACACATATTTTCAGGTCTCATTTTTCAGCTCTACAAGTGGAGCTGATTTAGTACCGTATCTACTCTCCCTTCAGCTGAATGTACAAGAGTGTTATCAGGGCGTTCCCTGCGCAATCTAACTGAAAATTAGCCTTGCTAAGCCAATACTTACATGATTAATGCTTTTAATTTTTTTAATAATCAGAAAGAAAGCATAGTTTCAGAACCAGAATTTTGATATTTATTGTATATGACATTTAGATGGGTCACGTCTTTGATTTTAGGCTTGTCAGTTAACAATTAATCGCTGACTAATGATGATGATCAGTTATCAATTTAAATAATCTGACAAAATTTGCACTCCTAGTTTAAATATACACCGACCCTTGTTTTTACACTCATTGTCCATTTTATCAGCTCCACTTACTATATAGGTGCACTTTGTAGTTCTACAATTACAGACTGTAGTCCATCTGTTTCTCTGCATACTTTGTTAGCCCCCTTTTACCCTGTTCTTCAGTGGTCAGGACCCCCATGGACCCTCACAGAGCAGGTACTACTTGGGTGGTGGATCATTCTCAGCACTGCAGTAACACTGATGTGGTGGTGGTGTGTTAGTGTGTGTTGTGCTGGTACTGAGTGGATCAGACACAGCAGTGCTGCTGGAGTAATGTTTCATATACTAAAATGTAGACACTAATCACCCAAACACCCCCTGCCTTCTGACTGGTTAAACACGTCATGTTGGCTGGAGTCATTAGCATAAACTTCAGCTCCACTCAACTTTTTTGATGCATCTCATCCCCCAAAGTCAACTTGCCAGTCCCATCATGCACTGCTCACCTGTGTCTGATGGAACTGACACTTCCCATAGAAAACGAATGGGATTGCTGTGGTGCTTTGCTACGCTGGACCTACATAAATGCAGCATTGATAGTTTTTAAAGTTTTTATTTATTTATTTTTTTTGAATGACCACTATTTTTTTTTATTTTCAATGCTATATCAAAAATATTACACCCTTAGTTTAAAATGAAAATCACTAATATTGTACATAATGTATTGCACAGGTCCAATATCATGATAATGAATCATGAACAATATATTGTGCAACCCCAACTACATTATTCACTCATTTTCACTGTTCTACAATAATGTCATACTTTAAACAGCGAGATACACACTCTGGCAGATCAGTCATATAATAGAAAAAAGAAAGAAAAAAAAACAGACTGACGATTAGCACTGAAATGAGCTGGAAAGCAGAGAATTAGCTTCACTACCAACATCTTAAACAGGGAATAAAAGATGGTTCACAAAGCAATCTTCACCCAGAGGCAGTGCGTTAAATGGAACCATTATTCAAAAGCACAGACTGACTGATTCTCTCTCTCTCTCTCTCTCTCTCTCCCCCCCCCCACCCCTCTCTCTTTCTCTCTCTCTCTCCCTCTCTCTCTCCCTTCTCTCTCTCTCTCGCTCTCTCATTTGGCCTCAGTGAAATAAGGCCATCTGTGATTCTGTCTCTTCATTCATTTGGTTCAAATTAAAGGCAACATCCTGGCATCAAACTCATTCTTTTGTATTTAATTAAAGTGGTTTAGCTCGTATAGAGAAGCTACAGCGTGTTGGTAGACGTCTTTCTCTCACCGTCTGTCTGGGACTTGCTGAGGAAGATGGTGCTGGCCCGCGGGTGGTCCGAAGGATTGTACTCCATGTTTAACTCTGAGGGAAGAGAGGAGAAGAGAGAAAAACCATTAGAAGAGAAGTAATAATATGCAGGGTTTTTTTCCCCCGCACTTATTTTATTCATAAACAGAGATGTAAAAAAAAAACACTCATGGAAATAGCAACACCTAACAAAATGCCATAAAGTTTGCATAAAAGTTTGTATGCTCACGTGGTGGATAAGCTTTGTTACAGAAAAAAAGGAAATATGATGAATCGAAAATGTATTCTGAAGAAATAATGCAAATGCAAAGGTCCAGTGATTCTGTTTCTGTCTGATCGTAGCTACAGAAGGCAGCTAGTGCTAGAGGAATAATGAAGAAATTAAAACAGACATTCATCAAAGAAAAAACTAACAGTCATATTAGACGGTAAACAAACAAAAGGTGCTTGCAGTTCATTAATGGAAATGTCTTGAGCCATCATGTTTGCCAGTGCAACAAGAAGCTGTTCCACATCAGGCTAGACTCTACCCACATTCCTCCAAAATGTTTTTATGGGTGTGACATAGAGAGCTTTATTCTTTTGTACAGAGCTGATGGAAACTCAGCATAATTAGCCATTATTTTGTGACATTTTAGTTACTCACAGCTGGAAGGGAACCTGTCTAATAATACACTCTAAGTCATCTGAAGAAGCTTCACAAAACCTCATCTTAAAATGACAAGAATAAAAGCACAAGGAATAAAGACGGTAATAATAATGCAAATTAAAACAATAAACTATACACCACACGCCACTGTGTGCTTTTGTACCTTAATATTTGTATAAATTAACTCAGTACCTACATCCAACACCAGTGAACGCTGTCTTCTTCACGCTGTATATGTAGCATGTACAACTGTGTATCTACACTACATGTCTAAAAGTTTGCAGACATCTGTTAATTTCCTTCTGAAATCTGGAGTATTAATAGGGAGTTTGCCCCGCTTTAGCTGCAGTAACAGCCTCAACTCTTTTGGGAAGGCTTTACACTAGATGCTGGAACAATGCTGTGAGGATCTGATTGCATTCAGGCAGCGTTAGTGAGGTCAGTTGCTGATGTTGGATGATCAGTTCTGGGTCACTCCAGCTCATCCCAAATATATCGGATAAAGCTTCATCACTCCAGATAACACAGTTACACTGCTCCACAGCCCAATGTCAGGGGGCTTTATGCCCCTCTAGCCGACACATGGCACTGGGCATTGTGACCTTAGGCTCATGTACAGCTGCTTCAGAGCATCCTATTCTATTGACAATGCTTTTGTATGGCGACCGTATAAGCTGTGTGGGCACAACTGAACACCTATGTCAGCATTGGGTGAAGGTTTATGAGCTGAATTAACTAATGTGAAGGTGTGTCTGGATACATTGGGCCTACTGCAGTGCGTCCAACAATAAATGCAAAACAGAGCTTCTTTTATACAGTGACTGAAAACACAGTTGCATAAAGCTCCAATTCCACATGCTGACCCATTTTACTATGACCAACACGTAGCTTCACTAGTCTGAAATATATTTTAACTAGTTTAAAGGAAACAAAGACAAAGTCTCTGAATGTATCAATGATAATAGATTATAACAGAGTTTATAACGGAAGCAGGCTACCATGAAATGATGCAAAAAAAGAAAGAAAAATAAAGTCTCTAATAAATCTTATGCATCTAATTTTTACATCTAAAACTGGTCTCTGAGACATCTGTGGTCAGGGCCGCATTGATTTGTTTGAGAGAAATGTAGGGAAACACTGGTCAACAGGGAGCCAAAGTATTGACTTCTTTGGCCATATGCAGAGTTATGAGGTGAGGAGAGCCATTAGGGAATTACAGTAGAGATGGAGAGCTGTGGTCAAAGGACTGACTACAGCTGAAGTGCAGTTACATAGTATGAACACTGGGTGGTGCATGTCTTCAGGAGAAAGTTACTGTTTCTAATGACATGAAGCAATACAATTTTAAATTTTAAATTAAAGGAAGTTTATAGTATAAACTATTGTTAAAGCATATGCTGAAACTTTTGGACCAAAGGTTTAAGTGCTGAGTGCTGACAACATGGGGAACACATCCATTCTCAGAACAAACCTGGATAGTCTTCACCACGTTACTGCACACCTACCGAAAACATGCTCATTTTCAAAAGTTAGGTGACCCCAAACATTTAACAGATCATCTCTATGAGGGTCACCAAAGGAAACCATGGAACAGCAGCAGTAAGTCACTGGTCAGTGAACAATTCATTTGTTTGCACTGATTGTGCAATCTGAGAATTCTTTACCCAGCCCATGAAAAGAAACACACACATTCACACAAGTGCACACACACAACCATGACGTCATCAGCCTGGGACAGGAAGGGAAAGATGAAGGCACACCCCAAAGAGAGGAGAACAGTGGAAAAAGAGGAAACACAGGTTTTTCCTTCAAAACACCTCTGCAAGTTTGCAGTTTGTTTATTAATTGATAAATGTTACTATACAAGGCTTGGGTGAAGTAAAAATCGATGAAAGCATCAGAAAGAATCGCGCTGAGAAAGAAACTATTGATATTTTATTTTTTATTTGTCATATTCATCTGCATATCATTTTTGATAGGAGCCTCTGCTAAGTAATACACGTATAATACATGTTTCTGCTTCATTGTTCTGTTTGGCCTCAGTAAAAAAAAAATAAAAAAAATAAAAAATAAAAAACAAATGAGATGAATAAAGTGTCAGTAATTTATATGGGCACTTCTGATTTGTTAACAGCCAAACGGGTCAATGGCTGATTTCTTTTGGACGACTTTTTGAACACATGAAATGCAGAATCTTATTCCCAGTACTTTCAATTAGCCAAAGTCACAAGAATAACACTGTTTGCTCATAAATGAAACAAACTGCTATTTTAAAAGAATGAAAAATCAGTTGCCTGTTTAAAATCATGAATCAAACAAAGCACTTTGTTGAAAGTACAGACAACTAGCTATTTAGTAGGGCTAAACGATTTAGAGAAAATGTAATTGCGAGGCCACCTAGAGGCCTATAAAGAAGGCCTACGGGCTTATTAGACCAAAATTTAGCTTCCTGGCCATCAGACTAAACACAAGTGCACATCATTCTAAACACACCATCTCCACTGTGAAGCATGGTGGTGGTGGTGTCTCTGCAGCAGGCCCTAGAAGGCCTGTGAGGGTAGAGGGTAGAATGAATACAGCAAAATACAGGGGAAATCCTGGAGGAAAACCCCAAGAAGTCTGTAGGAAACCTGAGCCGTGGGAGAAGATTTGTTTTCCAGCACGACAGTCACCCCAAGCTTACAGCCAAAGCTACAAAAATGGCCTAAAAACAATATTAATGTCCTGTTTACTCACAATCCCCATACAAGCTGACAGAGCTACAGGGAGTTCACGAACATTAAGATTATTATTAGGTTGTGATTTTGTAAATAAAAATGATTCATCTTAAAGTCCTACTACTTAGCACGAAGAGTCATGCATAATGAAGCTATGACATTTTGCTATAGGTGCAGCAGCTGCATTTATTATAGCGCAAGTGCACTGAACTGGCTCACATTACTTACATCATAAAACTGCAACACATATTGGCCAAAATAAAAATAAACTGTCCATCTGCCACGTGTGGTTGGTGTAGCAATTTGCTGATTCTGATGTTGTTTTCAATTGTGCAGCCCTATTAAACTTTATTAGAAGAAAAACAGAGGAAGTTCCCTTTTAGAGAGTAATTTTCACTCAGAAAGTAAACAAATCACAACATACAACGTTTCATATCGCAGTTCTCAGAATATATTAGCATATCTTTAAAAATGACAATACAATCATTGGTATTGTGGCTGCTATAATCAATCATTGATAGTCAAGTTATCTATTCCACCTTTACTCCACACACCCCTCTTACTCAGCTCAGAGTGTGTGTGTGTGTGTGTGTGTGTGTGTGTGTGTGTGTGTGTTTGCGTGCACAGCAGTGGGGTTAATGCGCTTTGTTAATGAAATGACAGGCATGATGAGGCGTGGGAGACACTAAAGCAGAATGGCTGAGAGCAGGAGAGGGAGGCCAGGCCATTGTGCTGAAGGCCTTTTGAAGCAGCATCTTTTTGTGTGGGAGAGCCACTCGAGGCTCAAAGGAGCGCGGGATCACTCCACTGAGGAGAACTTCGGAGAGGAGAGGAGGAGAGAGTGAGAGAGAAAGTGATAAATAAAAGATGGAGCTTGGATCCGTGTAGGAGGAAAGTGACAGACTTAGGAAAGGGCAGAGAGAGAGAGAGAGAGAGAGAGAGAGAGAGAGAGAGAGAGAGAGAGAGAGAGAGAGAGAGAGAGAGAGAGAGAGAGAGAGAGAAAGACCTCAGGTTAATATTTCTAGCAGGTACAGAGAGCTGCTTATTTAAAAAAAAAAAATTGAAAGGAAAACATTGTAACGTACATTTACTAGGACCTTCAAACACTTAAAATAATAAACCACAATTAACCACGTTATTTTTGGAAGTGAACCGTGATTAATCATCATTTGTCTTAGTTGCTCAAATCTGAGCAAGACTGCTACAAGAGAGCTACAGTCACGGATAGCAACATACAGCGCGACAGCAGCCTGGAACTACTACAGATCGTAAAAGAGTTCAACTAGGAACTCGAGTGAACACTGTTAAAAAACATGGTGGTGTTAATCAATCATTGCGTCAATGCGTTATTAACCCTTGTGTGGTGTTGCGGTCTGTGTGGTGTTCAGGTCTGTGGGACCCATTTTCAGTGTTTACCAAAAGAAAAAATGATGCGATTTATTATTTTTTCAACCTCAGATTTTTCGGCTTTTGCTTATTTTTTGTGAACAACATATAAAATAACACATTTTCAGTGTCTTCACACTGTTCACCCCACACACATTTATATTACACGCATGTTGTTGGGGTGAACCAGCAGGGAATAAAAGTGTGGAGGTGCTGTGTCCTTCATTCTGTTCTCCTCCTACATGGCCTGCTGTTAGTGTGTGTGTGTCTGTGTGTGTGTTTGTGTGAGGGTGGACAACATG